GTTTAATGGTGGAGAAACGTAGAGCGCACCTTGTATGTGTAGCTGTTAATGGCAGGAATATCTACAGTCGACCTTTCTAACCATCCCTCTTCGGCCTCCATCTCATCGAACACCCGGGAAGTCTCTTCCCACACGGCGGCGTAACTGAGACAGCCAATTTGCAACGTGAATGCACGCAGATATTAGGCAGTGGCTACGTACGTTGCCGGGCAGAACGCAGGTGCGATGATCCGTCTGTGCCTTTTCCAATCATCTCCATTGGCTGCGAACACGTTGGGACCCCATACTCTGCACGGTGCCATTAACTTATGGCTCTTAATAAAGCAACATGAAGGGCACCCACAAAGTAATCAACACTGTACTATATTCTTTGAAGAACTGGCCCTTGATCGAGACGACCTGTCGTGCTACCTCCAACGACGAGGTGTAAACTGTAGGTTGGCCAAATAAGTATGGTAGCGCTGATATGGTTTCCGTGCCGGCACGAGAGTAGACTAGGTATCGAGGTTAGTCATCTTTGGCTGAGTGTGAGTGTGTTGGAATCCTGGATACCTTGTTGGCGCCAGTGCCATTGCCAATTCAGCCCCGGGTTGAGCCAGCAGGTGGGTATAGCTGCACCGAATGGCGAGATGGGAGTAACCAAGGATCGGAGACCGGGGAGGTGTCCCAGGTCCTGACCACGTTCAGCAAAAAGGAATGAAGAGACGCTCTGTGCTCACCCTCTTGGCCTTGAAGTAGTTGAAGAAGCGGGATGCCACAAACGTCGCGACCAAAGCGACGGCAACAGAAAACTTGTCCAACATATTAGCAGGGTAGATGCAGATTGGGCACCTCGGTGAGGTACTTAACCTGGCATTCTAAGGCACTCCCTGAAACACCAACGCTCCTTGGAACACCGCCACTCCTTGAAACAGCACGTAGGCTTTTAATGATGCCCTAATAAAATGATGAGAAATTTGTTATAGGCACATTCCTTCTGGGACTGTTGTAGAAAAATGCTAATAGACGAGTGTTTATAACGTTTATACTTCAAGTCGGAGAGCTAGATAAGTATTCTCATACTTTGATGGCACAGTGATGAACTTCTCAAAATGGGCCAGAAGCGGGCGCTTCGTTGGGCAAAGCTAAACCGGTTATGCGATCTCTACAAGCCCGCGATGCTTGCGGCCGTATACTATGATGGTACCCTGCTTTATAAAATTTGGGAAAATTTGCATTCTGTAGCTTACCACACTCATGCTTCGCGGGCGGTTTTGCATGAGTCGATGTGTACACACCTTAGCTATATATTCGTATTTTTATAATATTTTATTGAGGTCTTGCAAGAGCAGCGGATCCTTTCCGGTGCACAAAGTAGGCCCTGCACCACTTTTTATAAATTTCGTCACAAGTGTCACACCAGATGCCGTCGAGCCATGTCTCTGCCGAGAAGCTGAGCCATTTCTCCAGAGTCAACCTCAGTTGTTTGAGATCAGGCGGAGTGACAATTTCATCACGCCTTGCTCGTTCATTGTAATGCTCCACTAATGTTCCTTCCCTGTACATGTACATAGCACCTTGTAAACCAAATATGTTGACCAGCCATGTCTGGTGTAAGTACAAAAGTCTATGAATGCAGTCGCCAGAATATTTGGTGAGTGAGATCTGGTTGGATCTAGCCATCAGTAGCATTTTTCGGCCAGTTTTGGACCACTTCCGAGCATCCACAAAAACATCATATCGTCCCTTGCTGCACACCCGCCATGATATGGGTGTCATATTATAGTGTGAATACAAGTCTACCATGAAAAATATTCACAGCACCTCTGGGGGCATATTGCAGCAGCAAGATCGATTTTATACAGCAAGGAGCCTTTATAAACCAGAGGGCCATCATAGTATCCCGGCTTCGAGAGCCTTTGTGCTAGGGAGTTCGAATTCATAGGTTTGAGGTGCGGATGCAAGTGCCTACTTGGGCAGATAACTTGATGACTTGTATGGGCGCTAGTACTTGCCAATGCATGCTCTGCCTTACAATGTTGCAATGCTCACGAACATGGGCTGCATACCCACTAGAAGGAGCGATGCAAAGTAGAGGTGCAGAGTCCTCGGCCGTGCTATTTCCCACGGTCACGTACATGGGCGTCTTTTTCCAGATCCTAGATTGTCACGGGAAAAGCGCGTGCATCTTCGCCATGCTCCTTAGCTTACACTACCGCAACGGCGATACGCATACACCGTCACCGTAGAGTTTATACTATACCACGACGGAGACTGTTGCCGACCTTTCGGTTCAAGCATTTCTGGTAAACGACCGGTTTCCATGTAGGCAGGCCACTGGCTTCCAAATCTCTCATGGCTCGTGAGGTTTCTGCAATACATCTTTGCGCTGATGGCCGACGAGCTCCCTTTGAGTTCCCCTCACGGTTTGGCCTGAAGCCTGCGTGTTTTCGGGACATTACTACTTGCACCCGTCATTGACTCTGGATAGCTTACGGCAGCCCTGAGAACGGCTATGCACGGGAGGATTGTGGTGCAATGATCGACGGGGCCTGTATATACCTGATGGTATTCAACACCTGAACACCTTACGATTTGCATGTGCCTTCTTCCCTTGTGCAAATATTCCCAGCATATCGCAGAGGCACTCTGCTTGTCAGTGGTGTCTTAGTTATCCACGCCCCGCGCAGACTGGGATGTGGCTAGTCGCCTGCATAGCTTCCATGTCCATCACACACTTGACCGTTCCCCTGGTACGTTACTGATGGACTGTGGCTATCCAGTGCATTTGATTGATCCTTGGACCAGGTGTCCAAGGGCCAATGCCCTCTGATCATTTTGACAGCGCATGGTAAGCCTTCGTCCAACGATCATATCAGCTGTCTGATCTGAGATGAACGTGCTGGACATTTACATAAATACGGCAACTGTATCTGTTTGCAGCAGACTTGCAGTTATTCCTTTCTCTCATGGCACCCACGCCCTCTCCTCTCCTTGCGACGGTCAGCCCAGACTCCATTCAGCCAGAGGCTTTCGCAGAAGCTATATGGCCAGCCATAAATTATGTTATTATTATCACGATCTTTGCGTCTATGCTCGTCCCAGTCCTCATCACGCTCCTCTGGTTCTCCACCCCTACAACTTGCAGGCGACCCATATTTATATTGAATGTAGCCTCTATCTTAGTGGGCATCGGAGTGGCAACTTTTGGTGATTACATCATTGTAAGTGGGAGTCCTTGCTCTTAGGTCACTCAAATCAACTCACACATTTGCAGCTTATTGAAATTCTAAATCCCACAGTTCAGATGAGCGGGTCTGCAAGTACTGCCTTCCTCGTGTTACTCTTGCTAGCTCCATGGGTAGCCAAACTGGTGCTATTTTTCCGGCTTGCAACAGTGTTTCCGCCTCACCTCACTTCGAAGTTGAAGTTGGTTGCCATCTTTGCCTTCCCAGTTGTTGTGAAGTGTGCTCTGGAGGTTATTCTTTCGTGAGGTGGCCCAATACTCAGGTGTGCTGATGGAAACAGCAAACATTGGCTGGCGACAGTTTACGTATGTCAGAGCAACATGCCTACTGCAGCTCTTCGACAACGCGTGAGTCTTCGTCTGTCGCCTCCTGGGTGACATGGCTGAGCTCACCCTGTATAGCTATCTATCGACAATTTTTATATGGAAATTGTACAGTGTGCACGTCTTCCAAAGATGGGAGGGCCAACGAGTCACTTTTGGTGCTGGAGGTACGGCTCTAGATCCATTTCACCACATGTGAATAACTGCTTGAGCCTTGAATTATAGGCTCTCTGGCATCATGACTCAGAACATTGTTCTGGATAGCAGTCAGAAATTTTGTCTTTCCTAGTAAGTTAAAGTCTTCAACTAATGCAGATCACGAATCACTGACAGGAAATTGGAGCTATCTTCAATATTGCGGTCATAAGCATTATCTTTGTGGACCCTCAATACATGGTTCATATGGGCAACCTTTTCATCACAGACTACTACATGTCCATCATTGGTGTCATTTTTGCAACTCGTAAGCAGCCTTAACTTCACACAGTTAATGCAAGTCAACATCTTTATTGCCCTTGCATTAGTCTGGAGTACAAGCACGGCGATCAAGAAGGGCGAGTTTGCTCCGTCGATTTGGCAGCGGAGTCAACAGCAACCAGAGGCCACCTCTGTCTCTACAAGTCTTTCCGACAAAGATGTTACCAGTCTCGTACCTACCAACGAAGAGCTATTCCTGCCTGTGCCGGACAAGGCACAAGCTTCAAATCTATCAGACATCGAGAGATCGAATTTGCGAAGGGCATAGAACCCATCAGCGGTACTCGTCCAGACGGAGCAGCTGCAACAGTGATGATGATATCGGCTCTGGTGGGGAGTTCCGAGGGTGGCGTGCGTGGGTACCTTGTTGCGCTTGAGCTGATTCAGTTCGGCGGCTCAGACACGGGAACTTATTAAATTACACCAGACCAGCCACTCAGAAGCGCCCAAGAGTGGCTAAGACACGCTGAAGAATTTCCGAAAAGCCCAAAAAATGGCACAAGCAGGAATCGAACCCACAGCCCTAAAGTAACTGCAGTGCACTATACCACTAAGACATAAGACCTTGCAAATATGGGCTTGGAATTGTTCTATAATACCACTTTTCTACCTCAAAGTCTTAGCTGTAATATTGTAGCCAATTATCAGGTATTAAAGCATTGGAATGTAATTGTACAAAGGTATATTCTAATGGCATGGCTAAGACACTGACATGGCTAAGACACCAGTGTGGCTAAGACATTGGAACATTAAATATTTGCTATTGATTCCACTTGAGTATAGTTCATCTGCTCTGGTGTTTTAGCCACACTAGTGTCTTAGCCATGTCAGTGTCTTAGCCACGCCATCAGGATATACATTTGTACAATAAGCAGAATCAATAGCAAATATTTAATGACTCAATGTCTTAGCCATGCCATTAGAATATACCTTTGTACAATTACATTCCAATGCTTTAATACCTGATAATTGGCTACAATATTACAGCTAAGACTTTGAGGTAGGAAAGTAGTATTATAGGGCAATTCCAAGCTCATATTTGCAAGGTCTTATGCCTTAGTGGTATAGCGCGCTGCGGTTACTTTTGGGCTGCGGGTTTAATTCCTGCTTGTGCCATTTTTTGGGCTTTTCGGAAATTCTTCAGCGTGTCTTAGCTGCTCTTGGGCACTTCTGGGTAAGGCTCCAACTGTTTAGTTTATGTGTAAACTTTTTTTGTAAACACACAGTAAATGGTTGTAAACGTTTATAAACAGTTTATAAACAGTAAACAAACAGTTATTACAGGGATCTAACCTACTTTAGTGGATTGCACCAGATTAGCCTCTGAGAAACCTGTGTGAGCATACTGCTCTACTTCAGCCTGAAAAGATAGGTACAAATGTCACAACGCAAGCCGCTTGCTTGATGCGCGAGAGAAAAGCAAGGCCGCAGCTTCCTACTTACAATATTAATGTCCCAAACACTAGGCCTGACTCAGACATGTATAGATAGTGCACCTACTCATGCGTACAGGAAAGGAGCATTGCGTGTGTCACATCCCGAGCACAGACCGACCATCAGACGCATCTGAACACTCCATACCTCAAGCATCGTGCTATGGTCTTCCCTATGGCCCGCTGGTGTCCCCTACGCATGGTACGCAGATTGCGGGCGCACGAATAGTCTCGATCAGCCAGTGGAGGTTGTGGGAGGACAGACACTGGCAATCACAAGCTGCGGGAGCGGTATTGCCGGGCAGCACTGTACTGCGAGGGTAAGACCTACGAAGATGTCCGTGGGGCTTGTAAGAAGCTTGCGGTTCTGCTTTTAGAAGGTTGGCATGTCCTATCATTGACCTCGTCGTTGAGAAGTGGGCCGATAACCTATGCGAGTGTTAGCCTGGCACTTTGGGGGTGGCACAACATACTCTCGCGCTAAGACTTCGAGAGCTAGCCTAGAGAAGACTACCGCATGGGTGCGGACCTCTGATAGCCCTTTTTTAGAGTCAATCTGCCTTAGTATCGCATGTGGTACTGTTATCGCTCAATGAGGTTGAACTAATATTAATATTGTTCCTCTTGAATGAAGTATGGGCTCACGACATTCCTGCATACCGCACTCTCACAGGCAGACTGCCAGTGCCCACAGTAGACTATATGTAGAGGAGCAGTCAATAGATACACATTATATTATATTTATAATGCTCGCCTTCAGACTGTGCTCAACACAAGTTATGATCATGACTACCATTACCCCCAGTAAGTCTCAGTGCATAGGCACTTGATACAGTGCGCCGGGCTTGGGGGTTCAAAGAGGCCGCCCGAGGATGATGCACAGGCAGTGTGATGCACTCTTCAGCCCAATAAAGGTCAATTATGTTGGCAAGACTATGAATGTACAACACCATGACTTTTTACAAACAATAAGAGGAAACTGTATGTTTACTGTGTATAAACGTTTACACCAAGTTTACATGACTTCATTTACACACACGGAAACGGTAAACAGTAATAAATGTTTATACACAGTAAACAAACAAAACGGTTGGAGCCTTACTTCTGGGTGGCTAGTCCGGTGTAACTTAATAAGTTCCCGTGTCTGGGCCGCCGAACTGAAACTCTTGCGTTATGTAAGCCGCATCGAGCACCACTTCAGGCGTTTCGTAGCTCTCAACTCTCCTCGCACGATGGCAGAAAAACTGGAGTTAGTTCTTATTTTGTAACTGGATAAACAGGAATTTGATGTAGCGTAGCATTTTCTCTTCGTACCAAGACAGACAAACCCAGGGTTTCAAGCATTCCTCTGTCTACTAGATCTAGCGGAGCATCCCGCCGGTCGCCTCGAATAGGTATATCGCCATACTGGCCTAAGCTCTCGTTCCACGATCCCTCGCGAAAGCAGCCGGGCTTATCCTGCGTAGCAAGTGGCGGTTGCGACCCTTGCTGCGGTTCATGCACGTGATTAATATCACCTCTTAGGGTCAAAATTTGAGAGTCTTGGTGAGACAGTATCAGTCCATGATATGTCGTCGAAGCAACACTTATGATGCTTGGATTACACGCATAGCCCCCATGGGAAACGTAGACCTACCCGCGAACGTCGTTCATGCGGGAGTGCACCACCAAGGGTGCTTCCTATATGTCGCATCATGATATCACCGCCAATTGTCCACTTTGGATGTAGTTCTGAACTTCTCGATGGGATTGTGCGGAGCGCAAGCTCATGCGATATAGGGTCTCTTATGGACAACCCCCAAGGAGTAACGAAGCGCATGCATAGTCAGCGTATCACAGGTTAGCATCTGCTCGTTCCAGTAATACTTGCACTGATCTGTTCGGCGAACAGACACGAACCTAGAGGATATTGACCTTAAAATTGTCTCTTGGTCCACCTGCGTATTCCCGATGGTGGGGATCCTCCAGATGGTATCAATGATAGACCATCTTTGTCTCCCTGGGGGCCAACGTTGATCTGGCGTGGGAGCTCATTCAAAGATTTGTTACAAGTTATAAATCACAGAGGGACAGCTATGAGTAGTACTCCCGGCCAGTGCGCAACATGGCCACCGTAGCTCATACTCCCATCCATGGCGCTGCTCCGTTTGTAGCTGTGGAGGCCGCTGCTATTCCGCACTTCGGCCGTGCTTGTCTCGCGGCGATCTGGGTGTCTGCTGCTCTATACGGTGAGTCCTCGTCATTTATGATGAGGCTAGACTCGACTAATGCCGTACAAGGGATTAAGTAAGACCTTTGCATTATACACGACTGCTCATGCTAATCGCATGCTGCAGCTGTATCGTCTTTGGAGGCGCTCTCTATGTGCTGCTCCGCCGCAAGGCACCTAACTGGCAAGTTCAGCCACCTGAAACGTCTTCGGTTCTGCTGACGAATCAGAAACGTTCAGGTACCTCATAACCTGGTCTTGTCTTCTGTGGCTTTTGTCTACCGGCGACGAGATTGTGGCTTTCTGCCAGCTGTACCGTTCTCTAACGAACCCTACCCTTGTCGGAAATCCCAGGGCGTGGGACGAGTTCTGGATTGTCCCAGATCAATGGGCCACGGCACACTTGGTGATTTACACCACCACGGCCTTTCTACAGGACCTTCTGCTGGTGAGTCATGCGGCTAGTTTTACGATTGGTATCATTTGCCTGTGCCAACTTTTGAAACTGCAGATCTGGAGGCTTTACATTGTCTGGAGGCATAATTGGAGGATTGTGCTTGGACCTGTACGTCCAGTCTTCTGCTCCCAGAGCACAAACTAACATTACGCACTGAAGCTTGTGATTGAGCTCATCAAGGCCGGTAAGCCTATGAAACCCGTCGACGGAGAAGAGGAGAGGCTAATTTTTTACAGCTTGCGCCTACGTTGCCTGCGGTAGTCTGCAGACGGACGGTGGCTTCTCCGCGAAGTCAGTCCGAAATTGGGGTCTGGCGGGCTGGGGTGTAGCTATCTTTCTGAACACCGCTGTTACGCTTGCGATCACCGGCCGGCTGTACTGGGCGGGCCGAAAGAGTCCTTCCTTCTCCGACCGATGCACATATCGTGCAACCATCTACACCCTGCTTGAGTCCGGCGGCATGTTCGTTGCGGCCACTTTCACGGCCTTGTGCCTGGAGGCAACGGGGCACTTCCCTGGCGCGTTAGGAGCGACATATTGCCTGGACCAACTTGCGGTACGTGTACACACCGTTGAGATGGCAATCAAAGCGCTGACGTTGGCAATAGTCCATTGCCCCCCTTGTTGTCATTGTGCGCATCGGCCTCGGGCTCGTCCATGGCCAGAACGTCGTTACCTGCGTGACAAGTGCTCCCTCGCAGTCGATAGTGATTGCCAACCCGATGCAGATCCGCGTCGCACGTGTGATGGAGTCGGATTATGGCGAGCAATATTCCATGGCCAGGCTTGAAAGCGGCAACGTTAAATCCCTAGATGATAAGCCGCTCCATGCCGTACCTGGCCCCATCGACAATTAATTAGTGGGAGTAGCCATTTAGAACTGATATTCGTCCTCCTTCATCCTCGACTAGCCTATTCTTTCTATCTCCATAACTTATTCCTCGATACCTGCATCCGTTTTCTGGGCATAACGCTTGTTTGGAAATAAAAGTAATGGCATCGAACACTGCGTTCAGTGGCTGGAGGGGTAGAGCTCACGCGCAAAGGCCGATATTTTCCTTCGGGATGGTACTCACACCTGTCTTTGATCAGCTGTCTCTGTGCGGATCGAGCGGGGGTCAGATTTCATTGAAGAGAAGCTGGTACGCATCGTTCGGGTCACGATGAAAGCGTAGCAGCCTTAGTAGCTAGTGTTATCTAGACGCATTTGTTGCACACCTCCTTGTTATTCACGAACGTGAAGACTATCACAGGGCCCCACCTCAAATCACCTCGCAGCATCTTGCAGCGCTGCACGTTCCTACGATGCTGATACACGAAAGTCAATTTGATTCGCTCTTCGAAGCATTCAACATTCTCCAGCTACGAGTTAGGTGGTGCTCAGAGCGAACAAATACCAGGCGTATGCCAATTTGCTTGCCTTGGCAGACCGTATCTGATCAGTGGATGATAGCTGATCGACTTTGGCAGTCCCTACTGCCGAACTTCAGCTCTTCCTCATTGAGCTGCTGGTGCGTCGTCGTCGCAGGGTGAATGACGAGCGTCTTCGCGCCGCCAACGTTGGCGAGGTTGCTCGCAAGCTTGAGTGCATCGAAGACGCGGCTGCCGACTGCGATATTCTCGCGGCCGCCCTTGACGCCGAGGCTGAGCACGCACCATATATTGACCCTCGCGGAAGAAGCGATTCGCGAGTGCGTGGCTCGGATGGCTCGGGAGCCCGACGTACATCGCCCGACTCACCTTCGAGTGTCGCTCGAGGAAGCGTGCGAGCGCGAGCGCATTCGCGCAGTGTCGCTCCGCGCGCGGGCTCATCGTCTCGGGCCCCTGTAGGAGTAGGAACGCCGTGAACGGGCCCATCGTCGCGCCGAGGTCGCGCTGCACCTCGACCAGCACCTTGACGACGAAGGTGGCCGGGCCGAAGGCGTCCCAAAACTTGAAGCCGTGGTAGCCCTCCGACAGCTTCGTGAACGACGGGAATTTACCGCTCCGTGACCAGTCAAACTTGCCTGAGTCAACGATTACTCCGGCGATGGTGGTGCCGTGCCCGCAGACTCACCTTGTCGCACTGTGGACCGCTTAGAGCTTAGCTCTGGCCTGAGCTAGTCGCATCCACGATATCTGCACATAATCGATAGGTCTGAGCAGGAATCCTCAGGCTAGATGGCTCATAAGCACAACGTGGCGTGTTCTAAGAGGACTGAACAAACCTCCGATGCCAAAGGTGTTATCGACGATAAGTGGAATTCCATTTGAGTGTGCGACCTGCGCCAGGGCCGAGATGTCCACAACAATGTACGTGGGGTTCCCCATTGACTCAAAGAAGATTGCCTTCGTATTCTCATCAATCGCCGCGCGGAAGTCCTCGGGGTCGAGTTGACAAACTTGGCCGCTATACCGAAAATTTTCAGGAAGATTGCGTTGGAGTACATGTCAGGAAAATCTAGGAAAACCAACAGGGCGCTGGCGCACCCTTGAACTGGTTGCCTGTCTATAGAGTGTCATCAGCGTTGCTGCAGTGATGTTGACGGCGGAGGTAGACGCATTCCACCGTAGAGATTGGAAGACGACACAATGTTGTCGCCAGCACCGGCAATTATTGCAATGGCCATGAACTGTGTAGCACGGCCAGGCGAAGTCGCAAGTGCGGAGATACCGCCCTCCAGAGCAGCTGTGCGCTTCTCAAAGACGTCCTAATGAAGGGGCTCATTTACAGTAGACGAATAAAAGCCACAGAACGTGGCTTACGAAAGTCGAATTCCCGATACGCGAATAGATATTTCCGAACGCCCTTGGTACGCAGGTTAGCTCCTGATCATATGGGAAGCGGTAGGGGACGCACTTGAGGCTAAAGAAGTCCGCGGCATGCTGTGCGTCGTTGAACGTGAAGCCTGTTGTCGCATAGATAGAGTTTGGAAGCGCATTAGTCGTAGGGCCTACGTCCTGACTAGCGTGCAGATGGAGGGTCTCGAATTCAGGCTGTCTACGGGGATGTTAGTTCTGCGTGCATACAGGGAAAGAGCGTCTCAGGATAAACAGGCAAGACGTACGCACTTGTAGGGCTTGTCTGTCATGCTTGCGCAGCGGGTGTGGGCGGGTCTCTGGCTCGAGATTAGGGAGCAGAGGTCAGAGAACAGAAGTATATGAGGCAGCGCTTGGTAGGCCCGGCGCGAACGATGCAACAGCTCAGAAGATGTATGGAAAAATGTTGCAGCAACCCGACCGGATCTTCCGCGGTGCGAGATCTTGCGAGACTTTCAAGCCAAAGAGACTCCAGGGTCGCTCTAGACCATCACTCGAACGCGATTTTCTCGCCTTCCTCTAGACGCCGTATGCGAGGGCAGTTTTGTCCATTGGTTTTACCCTCAATAATGACCGACGCATATCGCAGACTGCTGTAATCCGAGAGCGGTCCCCGCTATTGCGCTGCTGAGTTGGTTGTAGGGATCCAGCATCGGACTCAGAGCGGGTACTGTGTCCGATCGCGCGGGCCCGAAGGGTTCTCCGAGACGCCCAAACGAGTCCTGAGCGCTTAAGAGCTCCGCCGCCGCCGATTCTGTTCAGATCAACCGAGGACGGCGGTCTGTAAAATGTTACAGCTCCCGCTGCATCCTGCAAAGGTTCTAGCTCGGGTCATCTGCACGTTCGCGAGCCACAGACTTAGCGGGAGCGTGTAAGATGCTGGCGGCCTGGCGCGTACGGGCGCGCGGCGGTGTGCGCGTAGAACACATCGATCGGCAGCGTACAGAGGACGATGCTGAAGGTGAAGTAGGTCTTCAGAGATGCTGTTGCAGATGCCGGTGTCAAGAAAGCAGAGAGGAAGTGACGAAGTTTGGACGAAGTGCATCCTGCGGCAACTCCATTGCAATTGGCATCTGCACGCCATCGCCGGCCTGAAACGCGCTTGGGAGAAAAAGTCGCCATTAAGTTTTTGCTATTATCCTTGCCCATCTTGTACGCGTCAGGCTCGTCCCGCCAACGGAGGCTGCAGTATCTCGTTGCTAGCAAGTTCAATTTGTCCAAAGTCTGAAATCAACTCGACATTGTGGCGCTTTGATCCGCCATCATACAGTATTTAGGGTTATCGGACTAAAAGTATGAGCGCTCCGATGACAACCTCTTGTCCTCGACATCCATGCTGTCACTGCCAACGCGCCTGCAACAGGACAAATGTCGTACCTGCTACTCAAAAGACAGCAGTATATTAACTCGTGCGACCTGTTTACTTTCCTCTTCACAAGCGAACTCATCTATCGGCCCGCTCCGCTGCTCTTCACCCTCGCCGTCCAGCTATTTATACTGTAATTACACACTGCTATATTCCATCTGCGATATACCTTTCTACTTGTCTACAGTCTTACAGACTGCCATAGGGTTGGCATGAGGGACCGAAAAAGAAGAAGACCTCGCAGAAGAAGAAGGAGAGTAGATCAATCTGGAGTATCTCATACATAAGAAGTCAAGGTAAGTCTCCGCGTTGTACGTTCTTTCGTCCAATAGACTCCATCTCCAGCAAAGCCAAGCTCGAGCTGGAAGATACAGATAGCTTTTTTTCTCCTTGGATCTTCGATATGTCTATTGCTGTTGATTCGTGGATTCAACTATCTTGGTATGTCCATATTCATCTCCTTGTTCCGCCTGGTGCTGACTCGTTTGGGCATCACTAAGTCTCTTGCGTTATTGACCGACTCGCTACGTTATAGCCATCAATCTGAAAGTGGAACGGGGAACGGGCGAGGGGAGCCTGCAAAGTCAAGCCGACCTCTTCTGTGCGAGCTTTAGTTCACGATGGCCGAGTCTAGGAGATGCGGGGGATATCTAGGTACGGAGGTTATCGGGCTTTGGGATACTGACTATGATTGCTCGGGTAAGTGGAACGTTGCTTAGCATTCCGCGTATCCTAACTACCTTCTCTATAGCGACTCCACTAACACCCATTCAGCATAACAGCAGCGCTGTGCGTTCTGGAGCTGTATATGATGCCGCTTGTGGGTGTCAGCACGCCATACGCAACGAGAGGATGCAGAATATGAGCTCGTAAGAACCAATATTTGAGACTGGACGTTCCATTGATCTAGTTTTGATGTCGTGCATTTCGACCAGCAATCGCTTGGACCCTATAGCGGAAGCTGCAGCCTGAGATACTGCCATGCGGGGAGCAGCAGGCGGCGCTGGGTCTGCAAAGCGAGTACGAGGGCGAGCGTGGAGTCACAGGAACACTCGGGCACTTCTATGGCTCCATGCCTTAACTCTTACCTGGTAAGTACTCACGTATGCCTCTATGTGACATTCTCTCTCTCTCTCAAATATACAATATAATACTTCAGTTTCGTTGTTCAACATGGATCATCCGCCACTCGAGCGGCGAATCATGAAAATGGGCAAACGAAGATCCAAGAGAAAACAGCCGCTTAGTGGTGAACGCACGGACTCGTGTGGTGGAAAGCAGGGCCTTACAACGTGTGTATAGTGAGAGAAACGCTTAAAGAACGCTAGTATTACCGCCCGCTGTATCGATCATTGGTTGCTTCGCGCGGTCCTTCGCGTCATGTGGCCTCCATGCATGAGGCGGGACGCTATCCGCGAGCACGTTGAACTTGTGATGCGATTTGACGGGCCCAATCTGGTGAAAGTGGCAACCCCTGTGCGCCACACCTGTCCCGAGCTAGTCGAATCGTGCTTGCGGGCGCGTTGCTATCTCATCTACTTTATGTCCGGCTAATGAACGATACGCTTCCGCAGCTGCAAGAGCGTAAGCACTGGCACGTGGCCCCCGTAAATATAACGCTTTTCATAGAAGGAAACATTAGTGCGTCTCCTCATTACCTTCGGCTCTTCCTTGCCGTTGACAGCGGCGTTTGACTATTCACGTTGCGAGATCTTGCGGCTTTTCACTCAGACGCCCGGTGCATCACCGTAGTAAAGCCTAATCGTGACTGTCAACTATGGGGTGGTCATGGAGGCAGAGAATAAACGGTGAGTGAAATCGAATAGCACCACAAGGCTTGTTTCAATACTGTGGTGTCTAAAAGTTTGCAAAGGGTCTGGGTTTCTGGGCGATCGCGCCTCCAACGTGGGCGCCCGCACTATTGAATTGAATCGGATGCGGATTCGTTTTGAGACAATCGTTGCGGCGGCTGCCCGAAACGAAGCTAGTTTTTTCTTGGTCACGGCTTGACGTTTGTAATCTGACAGAAAGCCGTCACAGCGATGACAGCCCCGGGAGCGGGCGCAATTGGACCTCATTAGCCTCTTTTCCAAAGCTTCAAGCGAGTGAGCGTAGCATCTTTAATCCTCTTACCCCTCATTGTCGTGCATAGGAACCTGAATCCGACCCCAGTTACATTGTCAACGAAGGATACTTAGACGATCGCCCCGAAAGTCTAAGAATAACTCTCGATCCGCTTAATATCCATTCCTCGGGACCGTGGCAGCTCTACGTCAGGCAGGGGCTCCGTTACGAACCGATGTTGCGGCTTGCGACAACAGCGGAACTGAAATATCACAAGGCTCTATGCCCAGCGCCAACGCTTAGCATTGTTTCTAGCACTCATACACCTCGTAGTATGATTGGAAGCGGCAGGTGATTGCTCGAGTCCTGGAGACGATTTGCGACGTCAGCGAAAGCGGTGGGCACCGACGGTACTGACCCAAATAACTTGAAGCTATTCAGGGGTCTCCAAGGCTCTCAGACCTGTCGGGACCGGGTTTCGAGTCGCGACCAAGACAATTTGTAGAATCTTGGTTCTTATGGTTTCTCAGCGCTCGAAAGCGCGTCTTTGGAGGTATGGAGTGGCTTGGCAACTTCTCGGGAATGTGACTTGAAGCTGAAGCCTGGCCGTAGCCGTCGACGTCGGGATCCGATACCGAGGGCGTTTGCAAAATCAGCTGACATCGGCTGGCATGGGACACTGATTACCGTGGATCAGGGCGCGTCAGGGCTGCACCTTTCCTGATGAACCTGTCAGGCAGTTGCCAACTTGTAGACGCCACAATACCATGACGGGAAGCGGCTACACGCACGCTTTGCCAGATCTCTGCCAGATCAGACAGATCAAATTCTTGGGCTGCAAGTATTGAAAGAAGCTTGTAAAATGATCGAATCCCGGTGTTTAAAGCCTCTAAGAAAGAGCTCATGTCTCGGGAAAGGCGAGCAAATCTCCCTCTGCAACCCTGGTCATGACTGCCACACAGACTGTCGCTCCGCCTACGTCGTCTCAGCCTTCAGTCCAATCTCGATGGGGGCCAGTATTTGTTACCACCTCGTTCGGATTTATGTCCGTGTCTCATTTTGCGCTATCGCTCTGCTGCCAGTGCTTTGCTCACGGTATTCCAGGCTTTTTGGCGTGTTTACAGCCCAAGTCTACTTTTACTGGTACGCGTACAAGAACGATCGCAGACTTCTCCGCATCTTTGTGATCGCACTATGGTGAGGCAACACAGCACTCGCAATGGAACGCAGCGTTCTGTCTCTCTGCGTGCTAATGTCCATGACGTTAGGATCCTAGAGGCATCCCACACTTTTTTTTGTTTCCACTTCCTCTATGAATACTTTGTCGCCAACATTGGCTCCCCGAAGCAGTTCTCAGTGATCGTCTGGTGAGCGTCAGCAGCCGTTTTATGCCTCAATTATTTGTAACATCGCCTTTCCAGGAGTGATCCGGTAGGTGAAAAGGCCAGTTTCTATGAAAGGTTCTAACTTGTGTACCGTACTTCAGTCGAGTGTCCTCACCGAGGCAAGTTTGTTACGCTTCGTTTCCTTGCTGCGACGTTCTGATGCTTGCCGGCGTAGGAAGTCATCATCGGAGTCTGTCAGGGGTACGTACAGTAGTGCTCTAGCTGCCTCACTTTTACCTGACCAGACATCCCGTCAAGGTTCTATATCCTTCGCTTATGGCGTCGTAAGTCTGGCATCACGTACTACCTAGGATGGTGTCTCATTGACGCGTAGTAAGCGGTCGTAATTATGTTGCTGTGGGAACACTAGTGAGTGCCTTCTACTTTATGACGTACTGGCACTTACGGGCTTGGTGTGCTCATAGAGTATACTCCTTCTAGCTCGTCTAGGTGAGTCTCGGCGTTTGAACGTGGATAAGTCCCCTCACAAGCCGAACCGTCCACTTAGGCGCAGGCTTCGGTGAGGACATTCATGAGATTATGCAAGGAGATTACGGAACATTAATCTATGAACATCACAGCAACTAACATATGGTTGTGGGTACTACAGTGCATGATTGAACGAGTTGGCGCTAAACAGGCCCCTGGCACAGTGCTATGTGCACGACCTTCGCAAAACTTGGGACGAAACACATAGTGCATGTACGTCAGATATCTTTGTTGCGCTCAGAAGAGCTGACAAAGTGCAAATGTCACGCTGTTCAGATCGTACTGGACGTCGCCCAGACGCTCTCGGCCATCGTCGATCTCTTGATTACCACGATGATGATCTTTTATCTCAAAAAGGGGATGAACTTGTCCAGCTTCAAGCAGTACGTCATGCACTAGCATTCCGTGTGTTGCGCTTCCCGCCTATCTATCATGCAGGTCTCGAAGCGTAATCCAGACGCTGATGTTCTTCACAATCAATACCGGTGCACTCAGTATGTAAGTGGTGCAGAATACCCGACGGAGTTTCTGTGTCTGATCTGTGCCCCCGGGTAGGATTGGCTCTGTTTGTACGCTCTTCCTCGTAAGGACGTCTCACTCTTTGTGTACGGGACACTACTGACAAGTCCGCGCAGCTCAATTTTATGACCGGGAGCCTGGCGTTTTGGGGGCTGATCCAGCTTCAGGGCAAATGTAAGCGCTGGTTATCTTCCTGAGGGATTATACCAACATCTCTACAGTATATGCAAACTCAGTTTTGGGATTGTACGCGCCATTCATTAGTTCTGCAATGAAGGACTTATCATCTATATATCAGCCTTAATGCGCGGCAACATCTGAGGGACAAGCTGATTGAAGTCGAATTCAATTCAGTCCCTCTGCATCTGCCGGAAGCGAGCCCCAGCGGATCAAGCGCGAATGGGCCAGTTTTCAAGCAATATGCCGGCGATACGGTGAGTGGACGTACTACGGTCGTGCCACTGTCCTGACGCTTGCATAATGTAGTCATTAGGCACGAGCGTTGGACAAGACTCTGTGATATCACAGCCGCACGCGGACCAGCCGACACCTAGGACATAGGCCTTTCACATTGATTCTCTCCATGTCCGCTTTTACATTTCGCTTCGATTGTGCTCTCTGTGGCGGGGACCGCCATCTATATTCACATATACACTTTTTGCGGCCCAATATACGTGTTGTATGACTGTGAAGATAATTACAGGAAAGTTCTCCGCAGGTTCGCCATAACACAACGCCAGTACTTGCTGCCCATGTGATCCTGTGAGGTGTGCTCAGACATAGTGAGTTGAAGGACAATTCGTCACTCAGCAATCCTGGCTGACGAGGATACGAGGTCGCCCGTGCATCACCTCTGGCTCCTTCAAGTTGGGCCTTCACCCATCATTGTCGCCGCTAATGGCTACGAGTGATGCGCCATCATCTTCCAAATATGGATGCAGGCGGGTACGCATCACGTGACCGCCGCTTATCGTGTCCTGCGGCACTGCCCAGTTCCCCGCTCTTTTCTCTTTTCTACATGAAAACGTTGGCCATTGGGCATATACATTTATAACGCTGCTCAGATTTCGGCGACGAGCTTAATCTCCCCTCTCTTCCACTTCTAACACGTCGAGTCCACCTCGAGCTCTTCGCACGCAACACCGGGCCTTTCCAAGCGTGTCCTGTGGCAAATATCCAGCGACATCAGCATTTTATACCGTATTGACTCAAAATAGAGTGTTAAGAGCGAAACAGTACGTTTTTTAGTTAGTACATGCGGCTGAAGAGTCCGCGGAGAAGGCATGAGCAGAAAACAAGAACAGGTACGGTTAACACAGCTACTATGCGCTCCCTGTGCCCTTGAGAACTCACTTCACACGGATTACGCTCGTCATCGACAGTCAGAAGGCCACTTTTGGAAGTTGGAGGGTGGCGATGTCTATACAAGTATCCACGACTTGTTAACGCCTTTGCTCCCGTCTTCAAGTCACTTTCTCACTACGCTAAGGAGCTTTGATTATCGACGGACAACAAAACATATAAACCTCTACACGAGCTATGGAAGCTGGTTTAAGGCGACCATCTCAAAGACTTTCAGGTGAGCTTGAGTCAAAATCCGTGCCTACCGAACGGGACTGACTTGCGGCGTAGTTATATGTTCTCACATACCTTGCTTGGATGTACAAGAACTGCATGAACTGTATTCTGGGCGACAAGTTAGTTAGAATTTGGTACTTCTAGCTCGCCAAACTGACATTTATGTACAGCATGGGCCTCAGGAAGACTCTACAGACACCCTCCTTGTCGGCATACGGAAGGAACGCGTCAAGGGCACGCTAATGCGTGAAGTTCGTTTGCTGCGGCCGAAATAAAATCACACAGGAATCGTCGACCCGCGCTTGATTGCGTGCCCCCTGTCCATCGTGGAGACGTGGCTGAACGTTCATCTAGTCCGTGTCCTCTGCGTATATACGCGTCAACGGATGTTAAGAGATCCACCACTGAATGCCTTCCTTCAAAGCAATGCACCCCCACGCCCATGAAGGCGAACCCAGACGACTGAAGGACGCGGTGCACAAGGACGAGATTGACTTTGACATCTGCATCGCGACATACGAGATTTACGTTACCGGGGACACCCGATTCAAGAAACAGCGCTGGATATGACGACATGTCGAGTGAGTTGCATTTCTACGTTCGTGCTGTATACACACACGTAAGTCCTGATCCGGACTGGCACGTCGGTACAAAACGGTCTAGTCGAACTCTGGAGCCTACTGCAACGGCTATAACCTTCAATCATCGTTCCCGCAACCGAAAGCCTCCTCCACGAGGGGTTCGGCCTCGAGAAAGACGCGTATTTGCTGCCGTTCCTCAAGGCGACCGAGAAGCTGCCACACTTTGCCGGGGAAAGGACACCGTCTACATTGTCGTCCCGCCGCGTCAAGAGCTCGCCGTGCCGATGATTGAGGGGCAGCGCTTTTGGACATACCGTACCGCAAGTTCCTCGTGAAAATATCGATCTGCGTGGCTGCAGACGGAGCTCTGACTCATTTCACCATGCTCCTTGTCATATAACCTCCAGTACGGAACAAGGCAATCGTCCCTACCCGGGCTGACTACCGCCGAGAGTCTGAATGAGCACAAGGCAAGTAGACCACTCGCAATGGTCTGCCCAACCTTTGCGATCAAAAATACTGATGAGATGCACAGATCTAACGAGGTAATGGCGGCGGTGTTGTCCGTCAGGGAAGCGCTCTTCAACCCCAAGACTGCCGGGCAGCAACAACCGAACGAAGCCGCTCAAGGCCCCGTCTTCAAGACCGGCTTGCAAGTATTGGAATGGCTCGAAGCGAAAGATGATGAGCCTTATTTGCCCCCAGTTCGGAATCACCCAGGAAGAACTTACGCCGGCACCCGTGGAAGATACTGCCAGCCCTGAGCATCCCGCCCCACTCAATCCTCTGCTCTCGAACACGGAGGGCGACACTACCATCTCCTGCGATGCAGATAATGAAGTGAGTATCCTCGACAGCATGTTGTTTCGCACAATACTCAGCATGACGCCCTCTGCAACGTAGCTGCCGAACCCCAAACTCCGCACGAGTGGCGAAGCAAGACAACTCGTGACCAAGAGTGGTTGGAAGGCTGTGGGGAGGCCTCCGACTCCGCTTAGGCCTAGAAGCTGGGGTGCCACCCTAACTGTGTGACTACGGTCTATGGCCGTCTGCGGCTCATTCTCGAAGAGCAAACCTGACGTGCACAGTGCTTATTTGCATAGACATACACGACTTTTGCGGCCGTATACAACCGGAACAAATATACTCTTCGTGTGATATTTCACTAACAAGTAGATGTGAATTGTCGTCAACCTTGCTTTTGCAGCGACAACTATCATGTCATTAAAGCAAATGTGGCTCGTCAGCCTCTGCTCGTTGTGGCACCTGATGCGCCATCACTGCACTGTCAGGGGTTAGGGTTAGATAATAGCCCTTCAATCCACGCTGCCGACGGGAGTACCTCTCTCTACAAAGTATCTTGCCCGCAACTTAGGTACTTTAGGTGGAATGAGAACACATTTGCGAGCCATCTATGCCAGACGGTAGACCCCGGCCTCCATTCGGCTTGAACGTAGGCTGGTACATATTTGGATTCCATACTATCTGGTGAACATCATACTGGGACAAAATAAACATAAATTTGCAGAAGTCCGACTCGACTTGCAGCTTGCTAGGTATCTACTTCTTGATACGGGCGCTTATTATATTACCGCCAAAATTGCGCGTTTGGTGGGCTTGTCTTTGTACACACCACTGGTCACAGAGTAACCCTCAAGCGGGCGTCGAACACTCTCGAAATTCCCTAAATTTTGTGATTGCCTGTTGTATCCAGTCGTTGAATTCGTTATGGCGAACAGCAAGAAGAAACAGCAGCAAAAGAAGAAGGCACAAGCCAAGGCTACGACCAATGTCGCGGACAGCGTTGAGCAGTAAGCAGTTCGAAAGAACGTATACACAGCGCGATCTTATCCATGTTCACAGACATGAGGAGGAAAGCCAGGTTGGTGGACAAGAGCCTCAATCACCAGCAGTCCCCGAATCTGAGAGCATACCGCCACCGCCGGAGCCTGAGGCCGAGTCTGAGGATAAGACCAAGCAGGCAGAGAAAATGAAGGAGCAGGGAAACACTGCATTTAAGGCAGCCAAGTTTCAGGATGCCATTGAACAGTATACCCGGGCGATAGGTGCGTCACAGAACGCTGCCATTCGAGGGCACGCGAGGGCTAGAGTGCTCAACTTCCTGCCACAGAGCTGAATCCCAGTGAACCGACATACCTTACAAACCGTGCAGCAGCGTACATGGCTATCAAGAAGTTCAAGCCCGCACTCGCAGATTGTCGACAGGCCGCCAACCTGCAGGCCGATGCACCATCCGCGAAGACGCTCACCCGACTAGCACGCTGCCAGCTCTCTACGGGTTCTACGGCGCCCGCATTATCGGCACTACGCTCTGTGCTCGAACTCGAGCCCAAGAATGCTGCCGCGCTTCAGCTGCAGAGGAAGGTTCTCGAACTTGAAGCCCACCTACGGAACTTTGATGGTGCAAAGGCGCGCCAAGACTGGGGTATGGCGCGGCTCGCGCTTGAGAAATGTATGCAAACCATGGACGCAGAGGGTGGCGACATCCCTATCCAGTGGCGGCTATGGCGGGTCGAGCTTGAGATCGCGCGAGGATCATGGGAGAACGCGAGCATGTCTGCAAAGTGAGTCCGCCTTCCCGTCCGTCCGCTTGGATTTACCGAACTGGTGCAGTGATGCATACCGCCTCGACCCCAACTCGCCCGACGTGCTCACACTCCGCGGTCTGATCATGTTCCTGACATCAAAAACGGCTCAGGCGTTGCAGCACGCGCAGTCTGCCTTGCGCCTGGACCCCGGGCACGAACCCGCCATGCGGCTGCGCAAGCGAGTGCGCGACGTGGACCGTCTGAAGGACGAGGGAAATTCTGCGTTCAAGGCTGGTCGACTAGACGACGCTGTCGCGAGGTACACGGAAGCGCTCGAGGTGCGCACGACGATCCTTGCGGATCAGCAGCTATACTGATGAAGATCATAGCGGATCGGCGAGGAGGAGAGCGAAGGCAAGGGTGGACACATACGCGCCATGCTCCTTTCGAATCGCGCGACAACGCTCCTAAAGGTCAGTCTAGTTACTACTTCGTCGCGAATTGCTGTCTGAACTGTGCGCAAGCTCGAACGATGGGACGATGCCCTGATAGATACGGAAGCCTCGATCACGCTTAACTCGCAGGCATTTAAGGTGTACCGTACCCGTGCGCGGATACAACTGCACCTCGAGAAGTACGAAGCGGCGATCCAGGACTTCAGGACGGCCATCGAGCAGGCCGAGTCTGATGGCTGTGACGCGGACGCCAAAGCCCTCAAGACAGAGCTCAAAAAGGCTGAGGTTGACCTAAAGCGTAGCAAGACGAAAGACTACTACAAGATCTTGGGCGTATCGCGCGAATGTTCGGAGATCGAGATCAAGAAGGCTTATCGCCGGGAGAGCCTGAAGCACCATCCAGACAAGGTACTCGTTCAGGCAAGGCGGAGAGGCATTCCATACTGATGACCTCGACACCACAGGGCGGAGACGAAGAAAAGTTCAAGCTTATCGTCGAAGCGCATTCGGTACTGTCGAACCCGCAAAGCCGGCAGCGGTACGACTTGGGCGAGGATGACGAGCCAGGGATGGGCATGGGCGGCGGCATGGGCGGCATGGACTTTGCTGACCTCTTTGCGCACTTCCACACTCAGAGCAGCTTCAGTGGAGGCAACTTCGGCGGTCGAGGCTTCGGAGGCGGCGGCTTCGGCGGCGGCGGCGGCGGCGGCGGCTACGGTGGCAACCGCAGCGGCTTCTACAGCCAAACAGGAGACTTCCCCTTCTGAGCGTCAGGCTCTGTGTGTTCGGGTGAGTTTGGGCTGTGTACTCACCCCCTTTTGTGGACGACCGTGGATTATGTTCGTATATATATCATAGTGTGCGCCGCTCATCTCCATGCCTCGTTTGCTTGTCCTGTCTCGCACCTTGTCGCTATTCCTTGTGCTGTGATTTTTGCACTTCACCTTTTCTTGTGTGACACATGAAACGTATCCCATTTACATGCAAGTCCAATGTATACAGCTGGCAGTACCTGTCCGTGCTAATAAATCATAATGTCGTGAGTACAGCTCCTCGCGCTGGCCCGCAGCTACACTCTTGGCCCGCTAAGGCACATCTACGCGCCTCCACAAAAGTACCGACTGCCACGAGGCAAACGACGACCGCGACGCGTGCGCATGCGAGTCAGAGCTCCAGTCGCCAGTGTCATCCGTGTTAGCGGCTACGTACGCCGCCATCGGGAGCTGCATGTCAGCGTCATCGAACGACGAGGATGATAGCGTGCGACTGTGTTCGCGTCGGATGTTGAGGATGAGGCGCGGGCCCTGTGGTGTCTCCAATCAGCTATCACGGAAGGAACAAACTTAGAAATGGAGACGCACTAGCGCGCCGAGAATCACGAGAAGCCAGGGGAAGCCGAGTGCCGCCAGCGTCGCGGGGGCTATCGTGAAAAAGAGGGTGTTCGCCACGTTTGCGACTGCGAAAATGCAGGGAATTCAGGGCACACGTGAGCGAAGGCAGAGAGTGATGATACACGGGTAAATGATGCGTACTGAAGAGCAGGGCAAACGCCCAGACGCCGTCACGCACAAGGATGTTTAGGAGCATTACACCCCCCCAGCCCTCAGAGATGGCGGTAAAGTATTTGTTTAGTGTGAGGCCAAGGAGTAGGCTTTCAAAGGTGATGCAGGCAATGCTTAATGATGTAGCGGTGAGTGCATCGTGCAGACTGGTGCAAGGAACGTGGAACGCACCTGTAGGCTATTATACCGGTGGGGAAGACCAACTCTGCGCATTGCGGCGAGTCCTTGAGCTGGGGGAGGCTCGCACCAAGAGCTGCCACCATGATGGTCACCTGCACGACGAGCCCGAATATCAGGGCGTATAAGAGGCGTCTGTTTGCGGTGTACATTGCGTATACTGGTGGAAGCTTCCAAGTCAGCATGGCGTTGTAGTGGGTACAGTTTCAGAGGCACTCACTTCGTAAGATTAAGATGGTCTCGACCGCGATCTCCAGCAACACTGCTGATGTACCCTCAATGATGACCCATCCTTTACATGATAGTGTTTGAGTGTTCACTATACTGTGATCTAGGATGAAGCGGCGCGCGGCTCCAAGGTGGATTGATTGTGCACGCACATTAATGCTAGGGCAGAGTAATAACGCGTGAATATATATAGGATCTTCAAGGGTTGAAATTCCGTCCTGTGTTGGTGCGAAATGAGTACAGGACGAAACACACGTTTAAGGGAACATACATCCATATGTGCACGGCCTGCGTAGATAGATAGGATCACAGCTGGTTACAAATGCATGTTGGGCAGTAATCGGACAATGGCACACCTCGTCATCCAGTGTAATTAAGATATCCCATACGAGGAACGCAAGCGCGGCAACCAAGCTTCTCGACGCATCTTCTGACTGCATCAACGTCTGCAGATCTAGCTGCCAACCTGCGGCAGCGCGTAATTGGAGGCGGTGGTCGGCCATCATCGGGTATTTCTCGTAAGCTTCGGACGCCACTCAATGGCGAAAGACCGGGAAATATGGTGAAAGGAAAGAGGTGGTGGAGAGGAAGCGCTCCTGGTCTTTCACCTCTGGATAATTTCTGGACCCCGTACCGCCAGGCGTCGGCTTCATTACTGTGTATAGCACAGCCATCCCACGGACCTAGGATCGACACTCCGCGAGCTGCTAAACTGCGTTATAGGACGTGTTTCATCACGGTTTCACCGGTACTACTTGCCCTGCATCAGAGCGTCTCCTTGACAGCCCTCGGAGAGCCACTCTCGTACTCCAGGATGGAGAACTGATATCTTGTGCGTGTACAAACCCTGGCCATCGATTGAGAATATTGAACACCAACCAGGTGCGGGTACAGGCGAGGTCGGGGTCACCAGCCCACGGGAAATTGGGACGGCATCGACCACGAAGACGGGGAGAAAAAGTGAAGATGTGATGCATCGAACCATCGCTGGAGGTCAATCTAGTCCAAAATAGTGAGTGAAAACAGCACATAATCAGAGCAGATGTCCAAGCCTCGCACGAGAGAAATTTGGAACTTTTTTGTTACAAAAAAATGCAAAAACAGCCTGAAAAAATAAGTAAGAAAATGCCATATTTTTCCTCCCGGTATCCGGCGGCCCGGCGACTCGGCAACCCGGCAGCCGAGCCGATTGTCCGCCAGGCCATTGTCAAAGCGCCCGTGGCTGCGGCACCCGGCGGACAATCGGCTCAGCTGCCGGGTTGCCGAGTCGCCGGGCCGCCGGATACCGGGAGGAAAAATATGGCATTTTCTTACTTATTTTTTCAGGCTGTTTTCGCATATTTTTTGCGACCAAAAAGTTCCAAATTTCTCTCGTGTCGTATGTGCTTGAGCTGGCCTGAAACTGATTCGGAAACGTCGTCGGGGCGCGCCTCGCGCGCCGCCGCAAAATTCTGGGTTTTCTTTGATGTTGAAGTAATCAAGTCGCTAGTCATGCGATGTACAGCACACGGGCTGCCAGGTCAGTAGCAGGATGTGCGGGCGGGCAGCCAGCACCACCGCCGGGGTGGCTACTGCGCCTGTGATATTCACACCAGCTCGAATCATATTCAATACACCACAGAGAAGCTGTTGCACGGGGTGCATACCCAGCTCGCTTGCGGTTCCGCCTGTCCTTGTCCTGCACGATGTACCCGCGGTGATACACCTCGCGCAAGCCCTGCGGCTCGTCTGCTGGCGCTCGTGCGCCGACTCTTGGTGCGCCGCGTGCAAATTCTCAACAGCGAGGTTATCCGCATCCGGCAGGTGTGCCACGCGCTCGCCCTCCCTGCGCGGCGACGACGTCGGCTTGGCCGGTGGGGGGCAGGTGCGGTTATGCAGGCTGCTCGCAACCAACGACGAGCCTGACGAGCCTGACGAGCCTGACGAGCCTGACGAGCCTGACGAGCCTGCAGAGGATAGCGACAAGCCTGAGCCCGAGCCGGGGCCGGCAACCTTGCCCTGGCTCAAGAGCGTGCGTATCCGCGGCGACCGCGCGGGCGACTGGCTGCCGAGCTTCGTCCAGTGGGAGGTGCACGTCGCCCAGCATGCCGGGTCCGCAGCCGCGAGGCGGTTTGCCTCCTTGTCAATGAGAACTTGACGTATGGGCGGCGTGCCCGCACGCTGCAGGGCCTTTTTAAGTGCACGCTCGCTGTCAGAGAGGCCGGATCCTAGCCTAAGTAACGGTAGGTGGCGCGCTGGCCGACGAAGACGTGACAGCTTCCGTGACCATGGCCTCACATAGGCCCAGGACCCATCACCCGTTACTTCTTCGTGACATCTTATCGTATCAGGACCCGGCACTTAGCGCCTCGATTATCTCACATCAAAACACCGAAATCAGAGTACGCTCGGTCCGTGCTAGGCAATAAAGCGGACAAAAGTATGCGGCGCCTAAAGTTGGAAATTCAGCATTGGACACTTTTGAGGGGAAGGGATCCTGTTTCACCTCATCCTCTTACCACCATCACGACATCCCTCTTACGGGCACAACGCACGGGCGTGCCCCACCACCATCTGCACAACGGAGGTTTTCTTGTCTGGAAGGGACGCTGTACACTCGGAGATTGAGCCTGAACGGGAAACGGTAAGTCGGTAACTTTAATCTTGTATAGGGACGTCCGGACCTGGCACCCACAACATTCAGCTGCATGCCTCTGCTTCAGGAAGCCTCCCGCAAAGCGGCAGGACAACGTCAGCCCTATAGAAGGATGTCACCGGTTGCGAGCCATGAGCCTGAGTGGTCACCCCTGTCAGCCACGTCGCTGCTGCCTTGTTTGTTGCCGCATCGTTTCGAAGGCTATCCTATCTCCGCTGCGTATATAACTTCCAAGACGGAGTTATCCCTCCTTGTCTCCCACTGCCACCACATCCGGACTTCTTGCTCTTGTAACTTACCCCGCGCTGGTCGCCCTTTTCGCACCTCCATATCCAAGCCCACGCAGGCTCACGTTGAATACACTTCGTGCACTCACCCACGTACGACACAATCACTCGTTAGTGCGCATCATGTCCTCTCATCTCTTCATGGCTTCCGACGCCGATCTGGTGCTGCGTTCGTGCGTACCCAACCCTGTCGACTACCGCGTGCACAAGTGCATCCTCGCCGCGGCATCTCCCTTCTTCGCACACATGTTTGAGCTGCCGCAACCACGCGACGAATGCATGGGGGAGCCGAGCGCGCCAATTGTCGACGTCTCCGAGAATGCGCGGACGCTCGAGATGCTTCTCCGCTGCGTATACCCCGTGCCCAAGCCGACCATCGACACCTTCGAAGACCTGGCCGCCGTCCTCGAGGCAGCGTCCAAGTACGACCTCATCTCAGCAATTGACCATCTGCGCACGCTACTTGTAGCGCCCCGCTTCGTGGACGCAGACCCTGTGCGTGCGTACGCGATCGCGTGTCGGTTCGACCTCGAGGCAGAAGCGCGCGTGGTATCGCGGGCGACGTTGCGCGTGCGCGTGCTCGACGCACCGCTTTCCGAAGACTTGCGACATATCTCCGCGTTCGCGTACCATCGGCTGCTCGCGTTGCATTCTCAGCGTGCTGCTGCGGCGCAGGAGCTGCTCATCGTTCCTGACACGGTCAAGTGCATGATGTGCAATGGCACGCACTACGGCGCATTCTACCCGCCACGTTGGTGGAAGGACTACGAGGCACGCGCCCGCAAGGAGCTCGCGACATGCCCAACGTCAGACGTCATCTTCAGCATGGCGTTCCTCAACGAGTCAGCACGTGCCGGGTGCGAGCGCTGTGCAGGGAGCATACTTGACGCGCACTGGTTCCTGCAGAAGCTGCGACAGTCAATCGACGAGCTGCCAGATACCGTATGACGTTAGCTACGAGTTCGCATCATGGATCATGCTTCGTCTCCTGTTGGTTGTCGTTTCATGGACGTTGTTGATCTTCTTGTACGTCGCAACTGTGCTGTATCTCCACTCCCTTTTTACGATCCGTCACGACCAGCCAATCAAATACGGATATTGTACAGCCCGAATCAGTCATATCATGATTGTCTGAACTGCACTTGCGTTTCAGTTCCTCTATCTTCATAGCGACGACTTCGGAAAACGCTGTTTGGTGGCGAACTGTTACAAATCTGTCCGAGGACGCTGGTAGCTGCTAATATGGGTCTGCGGCGCTTAGGATTTCCGATTACTCCCCAGGTATATATTTCCCTGCCTATTATTCTGCATGTCTAATGCCAACAATTCTGATAGAGTCCAGCTTTGTTTCACACTGCAGGCCAGGCAGAAACTAGAGGACTCTGGCAATCTCGTGCGCGACACCGGAGACAGTGACTACAGCGGCTAGATGACTACTTCCTTGAACTACAGGCACTGGCGTGCGGTTGTGCCGAACGCCTCAGACCCATGGGCGGATCTTCATGTATAACGGACTCCTCGGAGCTTATGAAGACATACCCTGAACGTTCGCAGTACGCATCCCCTTCTCCTCTCCATTTCTGTGACAATTGGTGTCGGCTCAAAGTATCCGGTGAACGGGGTAAAACGCCTCACCAGCACTGAAACACGGTCAGTCTCTCATTATCGAGCACGTCATCGCTTCGGGACGATTTATATTGACCGTAGGTCGTCCGAGGAAAATCGGCTTCTTCCATTTAAGAATTCTGGATGTTTCACGTTCTCTCAACAAGGCTCTTGGCGCCTCACACCGAACCCTTTGGCGCAAACGAGGAGCTCGCTCTCGTGCTTCGTGCAATCAAGTATCACGATTTAAATATTCGCAAGTCGCCATTAAAAGAATTCAAGATCATGAGGATGCCATTCGCTCTCGCTTCAGCTCTCTTCACTGTAAGGCTAAGTGGGTTGCGCCAGGTGAGTACTAAGAGTAGGGAGGACGCCCGCAGCCCTAGGATGTGCCTTCGCGTGCTGTACGCGGACAGCGAGATACGCGATAAGCTCCTTGATAAGCCGACTCCATCGGACGGAGAGGATGTTCTTGTCTTGGGCTTCGAGAGGACCCCTAATATATAATAGTTGGGCCAGATGCCTGTCCAGGCCCTCTAAAAATCTTGCCAAAAACGCCCGGACAGGAGGGGCAATTTTGGGTCAAAAACGTCTGGACAGAATCAGGCCTAGTGAAATTTCGTCCACCCTTTACAAGTTCTTTGGCCACTTCAGTGACTTTGTGAGCAGTAGATGTCGACTAGAGCGAGCGGAAGATGCTGAGCGCCTCCTGACCGAGAGTGAGTTTGCGACCATTATTTGACAAGGTCGCGTCACCAGGTAGTATTTCCAGAAAGCAGTCGGAGGACAAGTGGGCGAAGGCAAATACTAGGTTGATCTCAATGATCGTGTGGTCGGTCGGCCAGACGCCTGCCCCCGCGGCTGACGTCCAGACAAAAATCAGGCCCGCCTTCGTCGAGAGTTCGACATCCGGACCACCCACCCGGCCTCGGCGAGGGTTGGGGTCAAAACGTTCGGATAAAACCTGGCGCAGGGTCCGAAATCTGGCCAAAAACACTCGGATCCCGGATAGGCCTTATCGAGGTCCTGCCTCGAGGAGCTGAGACGTCCATTTTCATGCACAGCACATCTCGAGGAGTGTCTCGAACAATGACTGGTAGCACGGCCATGGTGCCGCCCGTGGAAGCTAGTGTTCGACGACCCCGAATTTGGCGAGATCAACGCGATAGTCTGCGCGATAGTGCTGTGCTGCATCGTGAGCGAGGTAGTCTAGTTTCAGAGAGAGAGAGAGACAGGGCGGTTATGAACAGCCAGCGCTGTGTACAACAGAACACGGCCTAAAAAGGCTAATCCTAGAGAAGTTTTGCTGCTGTAGCCGACTTTGCATAGACGAAACGGAGCCCCGAGCCACTACCTTGTTGCGAGCTTGCTTCCTCCGTCTCTACATGGCCACCCCAGGCAACGATGTTCACGAAGCTCTTAAACTTCAGCATCCAATCTGTGGTCTCCGTAGACATCTAAAATGCGGGGCTTACCGATACCTCATCTTGTCAATGCCCTTCCCCGGTAGCTTCCGACTATTCATTGCATTGCACCTTTCTTGGTCTCAAATTGTGGTCTTGAAGATAGGATATTGTCTTCGCCGAATGTGATCGTACAAGAACTGTGAATATAGACCCCTAACTTAGTTAATAGCGATCGAATCTGACAACTGCGACACCCATTTTCGACTGGTTAAGTAAGGGCTACTCGGGATTAAACCCACAGATCATTAGAGCGCAATGTTCCTTCAAAATCTTCTCTCCGCTATGATCGGCAGGCTTCCCGTCTTGACGGTGAACCTGTCTCGCACTGAGGGCTCTCATGTTGCGGGATCCCAACCGTCCTGAAAGCGGAGGCTGAGGCGCTGCATTATGTGTGTCATGACGCACCGCAGCTCGAGCAGTCCGAGGTTCTTGCCGACGCAGTTCCAGGGTCCGGTCGAGAACGGCGTGAACGCGTTCACGTTGTGCGTCAGCGACCCCGGCGTGAGTCCCAGCGCCGCCACCCGCGCATCCTCGACGCCCTCGGCGACGAGCCACCGCTCGGGGAGGAACGTCTCCGGCAGCGAGAAGTTGCGCGCGTCGCGCTGCACGGACCAGAAGTGCACACGCACGGAGGTATTCTCCGGGATAAAACTGTTTCGCCCGGGCGGGTTAGTAGCACACGCAATACCGTGAGACATTCACGTACTGGGGACCGACGGCTGCACCGCCGCTACCAAGCTCAGGGGAGCGCTGGCTCCCACTCAAAATGGCGGGGAATAAGCGCATGGTTTCATTTCTGTGGTGGACAAAAGCCTTGCGTTAGATGCGTCCCAGGAATTGCCAGGACGGCTTACATGGCGGCCTCGAGGTATGGCATCTGTGAATGATACTTAGGATCGAGCGAATTCTCCTCGGGCGGGTAAAACTGGTCGACCTCGGCCTGAAGTCGCCTTTAAGTCTCTGGGTTTCGTAGGAGGCAGTACATGAGGTTGCTGAACACGGATGCGGTTGTATCCGACCCCGCGGTGATGGCCAGCGAAGAGTCCGCGAGGATAGTAGCCTTGTCTGGCGTCTGCTTCTCCGAGCCGTCCTCGTTGCTCTGCAAGCTCGTCAGCGGGCGTGAAGGGCGCTCGAAGGAAACCCACTAGATAGTAGAAGAGGTCCTTTTGCTTCGAACCATGCTGGTACCGCCGCGTGCCCCGCTCAATACACATTGCTCGATAATTCCTGGCAGATGCGGCAAGCTTTGGGAATTGTCGCATCCAGAAGCCCAGCCACGGGAGGTGCTCGAAAATCTGGCCAGACCTAGGGTCGCGTTCAGACATTGTAAAGCCCATATGACAGCTGAGGCAACCTACTCGAAGCCCAGCTTGAAGCTGTGCATCACGCCATCCTTATCTTCAGTAGCCATCATCTCCGCACCAAGATTACCACCGAAGAGCGCGTCAGTCATGATATCAAAGCTTTGGATGAGAGACAGCCAGATAGCAGATCTCCATGGGTGGAAAGACAAACGTAACGATAAGAAGTTAACCCAATACCCAAAATCAACTGTTTTCTTCTCAGCGAGGATCTCGACGAGCTGGGCGCCGCGCTTCGCGACGATGGGCTCATACTCCTCAAGTGCGGCCGTACTGAAGGCACGGACGGGCGGCTTAAGCGCACGCCCTTCGAACACTGGTGGCACATGTATGAATATGGCATAACATGCGAAAAAGAATGGCAATCACTTGGTCCCTTAGGCATCCCGTGTGCGCACATGATGGGTTGGATCATAGACGTGTCTCGGAATGAGAGCTCGTTGGGGCCTGCACGGCGTCAGCGGACAAAATTACCAGAAAAATGCATGCGCGACGCTGACCAAATCTGACGATGTCGCCATAGATATTGTGCAGCTGCTGGAGCTCAACGTGTTGCCGGCCCCGAATGGCGATCGACCCCCAGTATCCCCTCGAGACTTTTGCGAGGAATGGGCCTGGATAGCGAGCAAGTGGATGGAAAGGAGAGATGCGGTACAGAAAGACTGAGGAGGCCAACGTAGCATAGAAAGTGGCGTATGACAGAGCAATCCCTCCGAGGATGCCATAATAGTGGACGGGCAGCGACGAGAACACGGCGGGTGGGCCGAGGAGTGCGGCGGCCACGACCGGAAGTTCAGTGGGCTCTAAGCGATTGAAGACCAGGTGAGTTGCCTGTGACGTCAGGGGCGTGAGCTCGACAGATATCACTAAAGATGCGCGCGTGCGTACAAGGGCGCAAGTCGCGACGGCTAGGATGCTGTACTGCGTGAGACTGCTCAAGAGGGTGGACATGGTGTCGAGAGACTGGATTTCTCGAACGTCGCCTGGACACCACTCAGGCTATAAGAGGCCCTTGGAACGGCTCCACGAATGGAGATGAACGCAGCGCTCACGAGGGAAGGTTTCCATTAAGCAAGTTCGAGACATGTCTGACGACGAGCGGGTGTAAGAGGCTGCCCGCGCACCTGACAGCCGCCGGCCATTGTGAAAGCCCGAAAGGGCTGCCAGCTTTGTGGCGGAGTCAATCCTGCACTGCCTGCAGATGAACCCAGAGGCCTGGTCAACAATTGTTTCTACCTCGAGAAAACGTCTGAACAACGAGGGCGAAAGGAGGTCCTGCTATGCCACTACGCATCCATCAATGACTAGTCCTGCACAATGCCCAGTTCAGCGCACAAGTAAGATGTTCACCATGCACCTTCCTGTCGCCTTTTAGGGAATAATAGGCAGCGAATCGAGTGAGTAGTGATTACACAACGGGGAGAAAGTTTGAAACTCGACATATAGAATTACGCCCCAGACAATCCAAGCTCTCTCGAGTCGTACGCGCACAGCTCCAGCAGCGAGCACAGGGCGAAGATACATATCAGTATACAGCAGACCAACAAAGCGTTTTACGAATAAAATACAACCCGCACGATTCGCATCCGTTGTCTATACGCAGCTCAAGCTGCGCCGCTGCTCCCCGGACGAGGCGTTGCATGCTAGTCCGTGAAGTGCCCTGGCAGTGCAGAGACTGCGACCTTCTAGGAAACTCATGCCGGAGAGCTCCTGGGTGCGGGGCCAGCACCATCGGCTGCCGCGGATGTGATCATCGCCCTGTGCGAGTAGGTTAACAAGCGAAGTCATCGACACGGTCGTACACACCTCTCGTCCGGTCTACATCCCATTTTGAACCCTCGTCGCGACTCACGATGCGTTCAACTGGCGATCCCCATCGGCGGCGGCCGCGTTACTGTTAGGCATTGCACTCTCTTCGTGCTCCTCAACTTTCTGCACTTCGCTCGACCTCTCAGGCGGAGGCCGATTATCCGCGTGGTACGGGCCGAGGCTGACGCTGCGCACGAGCCTTGGCTCCAAGCTAGCCTGCGCAGGTGAGCCCGCGCCGCCTTTCGCTTTGGTGCCCTCATGTACGTCGTCCACGAGCGTCGACGCGAGCGAGTCGATCGAGCCGTTCGCCTTGCGGTACCCGTTTGCGGGTTTGAGCGTCTCCTCCGAGCAGCGCGGAGTGCGCTCGTCGTCGTCGAGGTACACTCCGTGCCTTCTCACGCAGTCCACCGGGGTGCTCGCGATGTCCACCGGTGTTGCGAGTTGCTCGTTTTGCGCGGGCAGATGCGCCTGGCCGTTTGCCAGCGGTGCGCCGGGCGGTGGTGTTGGCGGGACGACGATCCGTTCATAGTAGAGCATGAACGCGCCGGCGCCCTCCTGCAGTACGCTCTCGATCCCGCACTCGCGGACGTCGTCATCGCTCACGCGGAGCCAACCTCTGCCGGTGCCGCGTATGCTCTCAAGGCTTGCGAGCCCGCTCTCGCCTTCCCCTCGCACACCCGGCGGCAGCCATCGCTTCTCGTCCGGTAGGCGCGCAGGCCGCGGCCTTCGCCGATAGCACACGTAGTGTCCGAAGGAGTGCTGGCCATAGTGCACGACAACACCGCTGAGGCGGTAGAGCGTTCGCGTAGATGGATCAACCTTTGGAACGCCGGTTGACTGCATGAAGATCGAGGGCCGGAAGCCTGGTCCAGATATCGGTGCTTGTGGGCTCGTGTTCAGCATCCCACTTGTCGTGTACGGCGTTAAGTCGAGAATTTCAGCGAATGACACCCTACAGCTGTTCTTGGCCGCGCCGTACACGCCACCAAAGTGCAGAGAACGGTTGAGATGCAGAACTAGGATCGGTGGCGGCTGTCGTAGGCAGGCAATCAGGATAAGTAGGCAATCGAGGAGAGATGTGCTTACTCGTGCAACCATAGCTTGCTTCGTCGACGCTCGAGCGACCTTCACAACCTGGACACCCTTCACATCTTCTTCGACTCGGCCGGCATCAATTAGATCTTTCACACGAGAAGCCAACTTGCGGGATTCTTGCGCCCGCTTCTTCTTGGACTTTGATACCGGGGTCATGGGTACGCTATCAGTGGCATCCGGGGTCGGCAACGTCGCTGAAGAGGAAGCGGGTGGAGAAATGGGCTTCTCGACGACTCCTTCCTTAGCATATTTCTCATACGTCGCCTCCATCGAACAGCGCCGACATATGCAGTCCGTAAGAACCTCGAGGCGAGTGTAATCCGCGAGGCAATCTTCTAGACCACAGGCGTTCTATAAGGTGTTTAGACAGAGATCATTGTCGCGACAGAGAGGACTTACAGCCCTTGGCAAAGCTAACTGCCAGCTGTCGAAGGAGAAGTGCATGACGGCCTCGGTGTATCCACATTCGACGCAGCACCTCCGATTGGCGGTCAGGCCGTCAAAGACACTCTTCGTGATGCTCATGATCTCCAGCTCAGAATCTCGGTGCGGCGCCGCACCACCGTTCACGACACTATGGCTAGGCTGCTTGGGTATGGGCGACAAGGCCCCGCCGAGGCCGAGATCACGCCCAGCTTCGTGCGCTACTTCTGCGGCTTCTGTCTTCACAGCTTCGATAAGCACTTGAAAGAGCTCTTGGGCATCTTGGTGTTCTCGGGAAGAGAATAGTCGGTTGCTGCTGCGTGAACCAGCACATGATGATGGAGGTGGCGCAGACAACGCTTGGATAAGGGCATGAGGCCGGAGAGATGTTCGACTTGACCGCGGCGTATTTAGTTCTGAGCATATCCGTTATAGTTAAGTTTTGCTGAACGTGAGGCTCATGACGAACCGTGCAATATATCACGTAACGCATCTACCACCGGCGTCGGAATATCGAGCTCTTCCGCACGTATATGAATGGCGTTGATGTAAGGCTGTAAGTACGCCAACGACGCAAGAGCCTAGCGATGACAGAGGAGTCAACGGCCAGCCGGTCAAGAGGAGAGATGCCGACGTACTTGGAGAGTTGAGTCCATAAAACAGTACGTCCCAGATATATTGACGATCCCAGGATAATACCCTTCATCTTCAGCATCTTCGGGTTCGAAGTCCTGTTTCTGGTCGTCAAGCTCATCCTTGCTCGAGCCTGCTTCCGTTAGATCAAAGAAGCGCGCAGTGCACAGAAACTTACCTTGGGCTGGTGACCCGTTGGACAGCCCAGACTGCTCGGCCCGTGTCCTCACGATCTTCTTCTTCTCTGAGGTCTTCTCCTTTGACCCCGCATACCAGTTCCACGGCAGTGCGCCAGCCAGGCTTTGCAGCACCATGGCCACGTAGCGCAGCAGAACACGGACAGGATAAACTATCGCGCGTTTGTGTTTGTTCGTAAGTAGCACGAATAGCGGAACGACGAGAATGAGGAGCAACGGTGCGAGCTGCTGGACGAGTTCGTTTGCGAAGAGGGAGGTAAGCAGGTTGCCCGAGTCCCGGCCGCCGTGGTTCGAGTAGCGAGTGTGGTATCTGTCTTGTCTGAGATGTCTTTGGTGACGATAAGGGTGGTTCATCGGACGCGGCGAGCTCGAAGCTCACAGCGAAGGCGGCATGGATGTCGAGGACAGCGAGGGGGAAGACATCACCAAGCGCCCATACCGCCGATAACCCTAACCTTATACATCATGATGGCGCATCAAAGAGCCACACGTCCCGCCTGCATTGCCGCGCACTCTCGACTTGACCCGTCCGATTGTTACTTTCGAGTTATCGCCAGCCTCTGTAGACAGGATTTTTGCAAGTAAACAAATGCCTTATATGTTGACTACAACTGCTGCACGTCGTGCACCTATGCATACAGATTGGGGCAATGATATTCCGTCATCTTAGCAAGCATGATGGCCATTGCCGTCAGTAGGACCTCCAGACAAGACATAACTGGTTCAGTACCGTTCCGAACTCCCGCAATGCTTGAGTTCCATCATGCACGATCCTGCTAGCTACTCACGCTGGGACCAAAATGCTCACAGTACTACGCTTTCGAGCATACAAACTACAGCCGGCCTCGCATCGACGAGCAGTAATCCCGAGCTCCTTGCTCGTCATTCGTCCCCACTGGTCCTGTGCGACCGTCCCATACGACATCGTCCACGTAGTTCCCCAGTTCGAGCACCTCAGCCTCTGTGATAGCGTCCGTGCCGGTGATGGTCAGCTTTACAACCCGCTTTCCTAGGTTCGCCCGAGCCCTGAGCGCAGCGACAAACGCGTCATACCATCTCCCGCGCTGCCAGAAATCCTCTACCTCATCCTCGGCATCCATGCTGTCCGACAGCGAGACGACGAGGAAGGCAACACGGTCGAGCTTGAGGTGTCTCAGCTTCGGGAACAGCAACGCCGGGGTGCCATCGCGCGGATGAAGAGCCGTAGGGAGATGCTCTGCCGAGCGTCCAGAGACGGAGAGGATGTGTACGTCGTCCGCGTGTGCGAAGGTATCGCGCCACGTCACCTCGGACGGCATATACGGCTCGCCGCCGTACGCGGCCCGCGGAAACTCGTCGATCATGAGGAACTGCACCGTGCTGAGCGGCAGGCGCGAAAAGACGTGGAGGAATATGGACTCTGCGCTGGAGTCGCTCAGGCTGACCTCGAGCAGCCCGGTGCCAAAGAGGTGCGACGCCGAGCATGCACCTTCTACGGGAACTGTAGAATCTGGTACGTCGGTCCATGCGCCAATCGAGATCCTAGGGGCACCGTGACGCCGCATATCCTTCGCCTCAAGGCAAACAGAGCGTATGAGCACAGGAGGATCTGCCTCCGCCGCTGCCACAAACTTCCTGCCAAGCGCAGAGCCGAGGAGCGCGAGGCTAGAGGTGGCAATCCCGGTACCCTGAGATCGATCTGGGGGGCCAATCATATATAGTTGACGCAAAGCGGGCGTCGTCTGGACCTCGATGTTCTCAAGGAGCGTGGCCACGATGGCTCCCCCAAAACGACTGCATGATCGTACCACTAATTGCCGCAAGTTGAGGAGCGCGATTGGGCGTGATGAGAGCTTCGGTGGCTCCAAGAGGTTCTGCGAGACCAAGTCCCACGGCACGTCGGGCGGGCCGTCGAGTAGCCAGAGCTTCTCGAGTTTGGGAAGTCCCTTTAAAGCGTCCAGCAGCATTGTCCACCGAGCGCTGGCGTCGATGTCTGTCGGCCAGCTAAAGTTGACCAGAGTGAGGTTGCGCAAATTAGGGGAGAAGAGCTTCGAGGCGGCAAAAAATGAGAGGAAGGTGGTCTCCAGTGTCTCCAGAGCCAATGATTCTTGGACGAGGCGAAGTACAGGAGGGAAGAGGTTATGCAACACGCTACGGCCGGTTGTGGCAGTGAGAGCTAGGAACCTAAGCTGAGGGAACGCGGGGGCATCAAAGATCCCTGGTTGATCCGGCGTCGTGGCGTCATACTCGAGCAACAGCCTCTCGATGCGAGCCGAGTTCTGGAAAATCAGCGCCCAGGGCTGAGGCGGGGAATGGACCGTTCCCGATTCATAGGTGAGCGCACCCACCACAGACACGGGTACCTGTCCAGAACGCTCGAAGAAGGCCTCTACGCACGCTATGCTTGTCGCCTTGATATTCGTCCACAATACGGGAGCAGAGAGCACGATATCGCGCCAGTGACGACAGACATGAGCTACAGCGAGCCATCCGTATACGTCCGAGGACCAGGTTCCTTGCGGCTTCCAAACCGCATTTGTAAGGAAGTGGAAGGAGGCGACGTGGTGCTTGAATATTTCGAGAAGAAGCTCTTCGGGGAGAGTAACAGTTCGCACATCCTCGTTCAGCCGTGCGCAAAGTGTTCGTGCTCTCTTCTCGACTTTCTCAGGTCCCGCTCTCGTCTGTGAAGTGGAGTTGCAGAGTATCTCTTCTTCCATGGCTATCCTAGCATACAAGAGCGGTAAGGACACATAGGAAGGCTAGAGCAGACAGGATACATACTGGAGACGAGGCGACGTAGCAAGAGGTGAGATAAAGTGAGGAAACGCCATACATGCCAGCTCATGACCGGGTCAAAAGACTACGGCCAAGACCGGTACATTTTTTGACGTCTCCTGTGTCAGATTACTGCAGCTTGCCCCAAAATGAAGGTCATGAGACTGGAATTTCGCGTAAATTTTACGATGTCACCGACGCAGCAAGCTTCCGTATGAGTAATACGACGGGATCGGGAAAGCGCAGGAGCCGAGTGTGAAGTTGACAGCGAACAAGAGTTTCCATGGTCCCGTAGTAATTACGAGGTCTTGACACCGGGTGGCAGAGGTAATTCTTTTCCTCTAAAGTCCAGGAGTTCACGATTGAGACCGAATTGTATGTAGCGACTTGGAGCATGTTCTCGCGCTCTCCCAAGAAGTACCGGCCCTCGGATAACTTCGACCTGAATGCGCAGAAATTGTACTGATCCTTATATCCTTCATCGCTGTCTGTCGAGTGTAGGCGACCTCGGGGTGTGGCCATGCTTTGCACCAGTGGTGCTTGTGTTCGTGCGTTACCGGCACCAGGATCGTGAGAATATCTGCAATGTGTAGTTGATGCAACCCTTTTCAGGAATCGAGAGATAATCTAAGCTCAGAAGAGGCGCTTATCACGTCTTTCTATGGCCGGCATCCCGAAATCTCGGGTGCTTCCGCCGGCTTTTCCGAGCGAGCAAAGCGCGTCTATTTGCTTCGGTCGTACGCCTGGGTTTCTCTCTTTCTTTTCCCTCCTCCGTCAAAGTGCCAAACCATGCAAATAGCTATGATACAATATTGCACAATAATCAACGATAAAAACAAGTCTTGGGATGAGATGAAAGAGGCGGTGCATGGAAGAGCAAGGGGAGAAAGGCATCACATGTAAGCCAGGAGCAGCGGCACGACGTTCCAGTCAACGTCGCTCAGGACCTGCGTCGGGTGCATCCCGTCTAGGCGCAAAGTCCATCATAGGTGAGACCGGGCCGTCCGCGACTCCACAGCGCCCTCACCTCGTGAGACATTCACCTCAGCCTGACCTTCAAAGACCTGACAGTCCTCGACGAACGCGTCCCAGCGCTCGTCCGAGACGATCTTCGACGTGATCCACGGCCCGACACCCATCGCATGGATCAGCTGCTCGACTTGAGGGAGCACTGCGTCCAACGCCTTGTCTTCCATCCCGGCGAGCGCCTTGCGGCTCACGCCCGCGTTCTCGACGTACCATGCCCTATCGAGCTTCATGCAGCTGGCGACGTAGAGCTCGACGAGCGGCTGCTGCACACCGGCCGCGACGGCCGCCTCGTACGCCATACGATGGCCCATCGCCTCGATGATCGCCTGGCACTGTGGCAAGACCAGCTTGTTGACTTCGCTGCTTCGGTGGTGCGCACACGACGCGAGCACGGCACGGCTCTCGTCGAAGAGGCCCGCCTCGTGACGTGCGAGCAAGCCCTCCTGGTCCCGCGCCGCCGGGACCTTGTAGCGGCCCTGTAGCATCTCGGTTGCGAGCTCTGTGGCCGGAGACGGTCAATACAGGTCGTTTAGTGCTCGCTTGTGTACGTACTGATAGAGAGTACGAGTATGTCACCTTCAGCGATGGCAATGCCCCGGGCGTCGTTCTATGCGACGTTGGCGCATGAAATGACAGGTGACAAACACAGACGACTTACATGTATCGTGGTCATCTGATTGTGCGTGAATAAGCCCTGGACGCCGCATTGGTCTGCAATCGCGATGGCGCTCGCATTCATGTGACCGACGATGGTCGCCTTGAGGATGCCTGCGATAGCGTGGCGGACGCGGTAGTCTACGGTGATGTCGCTGAAGACGTTGGTGCACCACTCCACAAACGCCTCCATGACGTATATCTGCGCAGTCAGTGTCAGGATCGGGATCTGCTGCGTGCGGAAGTGCATGATCGGGATGCGGTTGCTGGGCTCGCCGACGTGGCGGCGCAGAGAGTACATTGCTCCGATGGTGACACAACCCTTCATCAGCGGCAGCGCAAGGCAGCCGATGGCGATCGTCCCACAGACGACGCGCCACATCGACTGTGTCAGCGCGAGCCGTGGCGAGACAGCCTTCTCGATCGACCCGAGAATCGACTGGGACGGTAGGCGAACGTTGTGGAAGGATGTGATGGCGTGGTCCACGGGATTTGGGCCACCTCGCTCAGGGAGGAGGCTGTACAAGGGGGGTTGAGGACCAAAATATTCAGGTAGAGGCAGTGGAACGTACATAGACTTGATGCCTGTGCACATCTGCCTTCCATCATTGAGAGGAACAACGAATGGGCGGATGCCACGGTCTTGACCATGTACAATGAGCTTGGCCCAGACAACAGCAATGGTCGGAAGGCCGGCAGGAATGGTAGGGGGCATGAACCTGAGATGATGGCGCGTTAGACACGATACAAACAAAACAAAAAAGTGAGATCTTGGGATCTTACTTGGCCGCTCTAGGTGTAGGGGTGTTCAAGGTAAATTCACCAGAAGGTAGGAGGGTGGCGGTGGTCTCGAGATTAGCAATGTCTAGACCATGTCCAACTTCAGTCATCAGGAATTGTCCGCTGCCAGATAGTGCATGTCAGCACAAGTGATGCCATACACTATGGCGTACGCACTTCTTCCGGTAGCTGAGGAGATCATCGACGAGGGGGACGAGCTCGGGTCGGTGGACGGCATGCCTTGCGATTGTACCGGCTGTCAGGTTGACTTGAATGGTGACGAGGGTCGCTGCACCTCCGTCCAGAGTTGCGAGCGGGTCCTGGTGGAGTTGCCAAAATTTGGGGGAAAGAGTTAGAACATCATCAATTTCCAGGCCTGCGAGGTACCGGAAGTCAGCATTGAGAGCTTGGATGATAATAGGGAAAGCACGCACGGTATGCCCGAACGTACTCCTTCGCGCGTTCGTATGCGAGTTTAGCTTTCTCTGTTCTCGTAAGGGCATGAGTAGGGGTCATGAAGGCGGGGGTGCTCAAGATGTGGAGAGCATGTTTGGGAGTATGGGACATAGCGAGACGGGCAAACGGGGGTGACCAGAAAATACACAGAGGGAGAGATAATGGGTGAGGGCACAGCCTGATGGACTCGCGCGATGGGTGACCTCCATTTCTACTGCTGGCGCAGTGTACAGACCGAGCCCCCGGCAGACTTGGAATTTGCGAAGCCTTAGTTGATACTTGTTGCCATCAGAAAAGATCACACGTGTGAAAAGGGACTTCTGATGTCCACGGTGGTATCTTGAGCCCGACCAGGTTAGGTCAGTGTCATCGAAATCAGAATGGCAGGAATACTATACCGCCATAATAGACACTGCTGTTCACACCCTGAGACCCGGGGCGTTGGAAACGTGATCAGATAACAGTTCGCTAATCACCCGTAACGCATGGTCGTGGTTCGGTGGCTTTACCGTGATTTTGGAGAGCAGAGACACAAATCAAGCGAGGCCCGTAGGCATTTTCCAGGGTGCCGGCTTGCGGACGAGGATTTCAACTTCTCGTCACGGGCGTCTCTAACAAGCTGCAAGGCAGGTTCTTCAGTAAGTCGAGAAGAAGAAGTCCAACTTGAAGCTCTGGGACGAGCTGAAGAAAGATTCTCGCACCTCTCGCTAGCGCGAAAACGAAGCCGCGTACCCGGATAACCGCGAGTGCCCAGATTACCCTGATGTAGACACCCCCCTGCATGCCGCCAAGGCACATCTCGTATCGACCGAAGGTTATCCGCTCCCCTCTGAATATGCTCACGCAGTGGACGGCACGTTGGTTGTCCTTAAAGATGAAGTCGTTCTGCAGTTGACTGGCCCGACAATATTTGATATCGAGTACGCAAACCGTGCGAATGAGCCTGACGAGGTGGATGATGTTTCCGCAGGGTGTATGTTCCAGATCATTGAATATACTAATACTACCGCAACCTTAAGGCCATACTTTGATGGCCAGAAATTGAGTGGAAATGAGAGAGATATTCGGAGTATTCGGAGGCGCGGTTTATTACCCTAACGCGACCGTGTGATCGACGCCACGAAGTGTCGGCATTTTACCGGGTGCTACTCATCGAGCCGATCATTGTTCGCGGGAGTAGATAAAGCGCCTCCGAAAGACTCGGAATTGTTATGCCGCAGTCACTAGCAGTGCTATTCAGTGGAGGCATACCGACCACACATAGTTGCATCGCATTGGTAATAGCGTGTCCTCTATAGCGGCTGATTCTTGGAGTATTACGAACTGGCTGGGCTCCAGTGATCAGAATAAGGGTGCACCTTTGACCCCGAACCCGCTGGACTCGGCATCATTATGAAGTGAGTCATCTAATATATAAAAGTGTCGGAAATAATGTCTTGAATCAGATAACAAACCGGGACCTCAGCTTGCCTTGATCTGGACCTGTCTATCAAGGCACCCAGGTATGTCGATCCGAGCCCAAGACGCACAAGCGAGAGCGAGACTCATGGTACTCTATGGTACTGCCAGTATGGCAGTATCCAATCACTGATGCCGAGGCGTGCTCAATTCTCGCGGGTTGGGTTGGGATCGTTGGGTTGGCTTCGCTTGTCCAGCACCATGTCACACGGCCTCATGGAGATAACTCGTCATCCAAGTGAGACAAGGGAGGTGAAGCGAACCCTGTTGACGCTGAAAAGGCCAACGGCATGTTTGCAACAATCGTTGTCGTCCTCTTATAGCCTCTTATCTCCTCTCAAAGGCGGCGCCGCACACCTTTTGCATGGCGGCATCTCGACCGTATATGACTGTAGCCAAGCCAGCGGGCTCGACAGAAGCGTCACAACGTGATACACCGACGTCACGCACGAGATCAAACCTATCACCTCGGGCTTCCGCCTTGCGCTCTCGCACAACCTCGTGGACACGAACCAGGCGCTGCGCCCTGCGCTCTCGACAAACGCATGGGTCGTGGACGAACTGCGCCGCCTGTGCCGCCTGTGGAACGTCGACGAGGGCACATACGCGCCCGAGAGGCTCGTGTACCCGCTAGATCACAAGTACTCGCGCGCAAACCTGAATGCGGTCTCGAGCTCGCCCACGCTGCGTGCGACCTTGTAGAGTGCTTATCTAGCCGTGTCCGGTCGCTGCGCTCCGTAAGGACCTCGTGCGTCTCAATCGCTATCGAGACGCACGTGGTATATAGTGCAGCATTTGTCTACATTACGAATTGATGTCTAAGGGCACAGTATAAAGTAAATACAAGTAGTAAACAACATGTGCATGAGGCGCCGGCGAACACGAGCTCGAGATACAGATCCAAAAACACAACAGGGAGCATACCCGCCTAGGCGCAAAGTCCATCATAGGTGAGACCTGACCGACTCCGCTGCCCTCTCCGCTTGGAAGACATTCACCTCGGCCTGACCTTCAAAGACCTGACAGTCCTCGACGAACGCGTCCCAGCGCTCGTCCGAGACGATCTTCGACGTGATCCACGGCCCGACACCCATCGCCCGGACCAGCTGCCCGACCTGGGGGAGCACCGCGTCGAGCGCCCTGTCCTCCATCCCGTCGAGCGCCTTGCGGCTCACGCCCGCGTTCTCGACGTACCACGCCCCGTCGCGCTTCATGCAGCTGGCGACGTAGAGCTCGACGAGCGGCTGCTGCACACCGGCCGCGACGGCCGCCTCGTACGCCATACGATGGCCCATCGCCTCGATGATCGCCTGGCACTGTGGCAAGACCAGCTTGTTGACTTCGTTGCTTCGGTGGTGCGCGCACGATGCGAGTACCGCACGGCTCTCGTCGAAGAGGCCCGCCTCGTGACGCGCGAGCAAGCCCTCCTGGTCCCGCGCCGCCGGGACCTTGTAGCGGCCCTGTAGCATCTCGGTTGCGAGCTCTGTGGCCGGAGACGGTCAGTTCGGGTCGTTCGGTGCTCGCTGATGTACGTACTGATAGAGAGCACGAGTATGTCACCTTCAGCGATGGCAATGCCCCGGGCGTCGTTCTATGCGACGTTGGCGCATGAAATGACAGGTGACAAACACAGACGACTTACATGTATCGTGGTCATCTGATTGTGTGCGAACAACCCCTGGACGCCGCACCGGTCTGCAATCGCGATGGCGCTCGCATTCATGTGACCGACGATGGTCGCCTTGAGGATGCCTGCGATAGCGTGGCGGACGCGGTAGTCTACGGTGATGTCGCTGAAGACGTTGGTGCACCACTCCACAAACGCCTCCATGACATAGATCTGCGCAGTCAGTGTCAGGATCGGGATCTGCTGCGTGCGGAAGTGCATGATCGGGATGCGGTTGTTGGGCTCGCCGACGTGGCGGCGAAGAGAGTACATCGTCCCCGATGGTGACACAACCCTTCATCAGCGGCAGCGCAAGGCAG